TATAACTCCATAACATGGTACGCGCGAACACTAGGTTAACGCGAGACAGGTCATAACTTACTAGGCTAATGATTCTCCGTATCTTACTCGGTCTATATCTGTCTGTATCTCTGACTCTTTGACTCTTCCTCGCTCTCTCTCTGCTCTCTCTCTCTCTAAACCAGAGATTATAGGAGGTCTAGAAAGGGCCTTTTTTGGCATGTTTTTCGCCGAAATTCGGCACTAGAGTGCCCGATAATTAGCATTATGCACGCACGCAAGTTGGATGCCTCGTGGACGTCGCGAGAAAGCATTAGAAGTGAAATTATTCTTGTTGTGTATTCGTGACGTATGCACNGATATTTGAATATGTATGATCGGCAGGCGGTATCTTTGAATTTTATTTTTTCTTGAAACCCTCTAAAAGTGACCGCAGTCGCACATTTTTCACTCCGAAATGTGAAGTCGGGCGGGTGACCCAAACCAAAGGTAATTTTTTGGTCGGCCTAATGATCTGAAACCTGGTTATTCCTTTCTATATATGTGTCTATCTTACTATCTAAAATAGATCACACACATTCATATTGTTTCTGGCAGCAAATATAAGTGTTGCAAACCAAAGCAATGTTATTCATTGTTAGGTAAATCATCTCTTTGAGGTTCGTGTGTTTTCTCAATTGCAGATAAAAGTTGTGAGACATCTGTGATCTCTATAGATGTATATGTGTGGTGCTGTGGTTGTTTATTGGTAAGTAGACCAGTAGGTTCAACAATGGATAACACCATTGTAGTATTCACTATTCAGCAGTATTTTCAGTAAAATTTGGCTTTATTTATGCAATGAACAAATTTTACTGTTATATTTTTAATGAGAAATAACTAAAAGCATGCCTGTATGGCATATCGAGATATGTAGCATATTGCGTTTTTCGCGAATAATAATAAATACAGTATAAAAACTAATAACTAATGAAATATCGCAGTAATTATCATTTTTGTGATTAAATCTCACATACTCTCTGCGAATAACGTGCAAGTAAACGAGTAACAGAACGTAGATCTATCGTCACCGCACGAGACAGAACGGTGATGACCTTGAGCTAGTGACGATCGTGACACCGATAACAAGATGGCCGCCGTCTATAACCGTTCGTTTTCCCCACCAGGAAGACTCCCGTACGACCACATGGATGCGCGCCGATCGAATGAAGCCTTCCGGATGCTCCGCGCGAGAAGCCTCTGCCTCCTCACCGCACTCCTCATCCTCCTGGCGACCGTCGCCACCGGCGGACGCCCCGGCGACCACCTCCCGCCGTTCCCGCACGCGCTCAACCCGGACGCCTGCTTCGCCGCCACAGGGCGCCACCTGGTGATCGTGTGCACGCTCGACGGCCGCGTGTCGGCGCTCGACGTCGGCCGCGGTGGCGCCCTCGCGTGGACGCTCGACGCCGACGCCGCGCCGATGCTCTCCGCGCGCCTCGTCGTCGCTCGACGGCGCCCTCTATCGGTACGACGACGGCGTCCTCGAGGCGGTTCCGTTCGACGCGGACTCGCTGCTCGCGCGCTCGTTCCGCGTCGACGACGACACGGTCGTCGTCGGAGGTCGCGAGACGGTGACGGCGTGGGGGTCGGGTCACGCAGCGGCGCCGTGCTGTACGCGCGGCGGCGCTGCCGGGTGCACGACGCACGCGGAACCGGACGAGGACGAGGACGTCGTCGTCGTGCGGCGGACGACGCGCACGGTCAGGTCGGTCGCGGCGCGCTCTGGTGTCGAGAACTGGAACTTCAGCGTCGCGCAGGCGGAGCTGAGCGTGCACGAGCGGCCGCGGCGGACGCGTGCGGAGACGAGGAGGAGGAGGCGGTTGCCGTCGGCAACGTCAGCATCCAGGTAGGGTTGACCGATGCGAAGTGGTTTCGTTTTTTTTTTTCTTTTCATGTGGTTAAAAAATGTGTTTTACACATGTTTTTCAATGTGGTTTATGATGCTTTAATTGATGATACAAAGAGAGAATGTCTGAAGTCATCTAACAGTACTAGTATTGTGTTTGCTCGAGACTGAGGGTGAACATACTTTTCTTATGAGGGCAAACTTGTCTAATCCTAGCGTAAAATTCGATATTCACAAGGAAACTTCGACATTAAATAATGAATATACTTCCTATTATCAGCAAAAATCGCGAGAATAAAAACTAAAGAAGAAGAAAAAGAAATAAGCACAACGAACGAAACTAAATAAAAAAAACGATCACTTCGTTTCGAAAAAAGTTTAAAATGTCGTTTCTTCCCTGCAGGTGGGGGTGCCGGATGGCACGGTGATGGCGGTGGACGGCGCAGCAGCAGTGCTGTGGTCGCACAAGTTTGACGCGCCCGTCGCGCACGCGTGGAGCGTCGTCGACGGCGAGGCGGAAGAGATAAGTCTGTTTGACTATCACCACGTCCCCGCGCTGCACGCCGCGCACGAACGACTCGAGTACTCGCGCGCTCTCCCCATGCTCTACATGGGCATGCACCGTGAACAGGTATACCTAGTGATGGGAATCAGTTCGAATTTCATCATCGATCGTCGGTCGAACCCAACCGATCGATGATCGAAGATAATCGATTGAATGTTATTGATCGTGGCTACCAGATATTGAAATATATCATAATATATCGTATAATACAGTATTTTTTTAAATACAATATTCTAAAAGCTATGTAACAGTATTATACTTGCTTATGTTTGGTGTAGGTTAGTTTTAAGATGTAAGAAGTAACCGAAAAACACAAAAGTAAAATAAAAAGTCATATCATCAATTTTTGCACATTTTATTTAAGAAAAATAATTTTTTGATAATCGATTAAATATTTTTGCATAATCGAGCGCTTACTCGGTTGCTGCAAATGACTGACTTTTGATTATAATCGATCATCGTGACAGGTGTACGTGCAGCCGTCTGTCAACCAGGAGAGCGGCAGCGGCAACGAGCTCGTCCCGCGCGTGAACTGGAAGCCATACGTCGCGACGTCACCATCCCGCACGCAGCTCCTCATCCCGGCAGCCGGCGACTGCGCCGCGACGAACGGGGATGCTTCCCGCGCGCTCTCTCTCCCGAAGCACTTCGACGGGTACCCGTTCGACGTCGGCATCTACCTCTTCGATCGGAGCGCGCGCCCGCTCGTCGTGCTGCCCTCTGGCGGCGGCGACGACGGGTTCGGGATCGCGGCGTCGCTGTGGAGCTGGTGGCGGGAGGTGGCAGCGATCAGCGTTACCACGGCGATCGCGTTCCACTTGTTTGTGACGCGCTGCTGGCACCGCGGAAAGTACCGGAGGCTGCGCGACGAGATAGAGAAGCTGAGGGAGCGATCGGGATGCGGGCTGTCCGAGGTCGCCGTGGAGACGGCGTCCGCGGCGACGACACCGACGACGCCGAGCTACTCGACCGGCTACAGCGTGAACACGACGGATTCTCAGGAGTTTGTGTCGCGGTACGTAACAGTGACGGGGGTGAGGTAGGGGAGAATGGGGTGAGCGAGGGGAGAAGGGGATGAGCTAGGGGAGAAGGGGGCGAGCGAGGGGAGAAGGGGGTGAGCGAGGGGAGAAGGGGATGAGCGAGGACTCGCGTCTCGCGGCGGTCGCCCCCGACGACGGCTTCGCCTCGAGCTCGGCCCACAGCGACAGCAGCTTCCGCGACGACTTCGTCGCCGGCGGCAACGCATCCCTGCGCGCGGCGGACGACTCCGACACGGACAGCAGCTTCCAAGTGGATTTCGCCGCGGGCGACGACGACTACGAACCCGACCCCCCCGTCTCGATGCACGAGCGGGATGAGGCGGCGGCCCCCGTCCCGAGACGCGATCGCGAGGCAGCAGCACAGCAGCCGCTCTTCCTCTACATCCAGATGCAGCTGTGCCGGCGTGAGAGCCTGCGCGAGTGGCTGGCAGACGACGGACGCGCGCGCGACCACGGCGAGTGTCTCTGGATCTTCGCGCAGATCGTGGACGCGGTTCGCTACGTGCACGCGTGCGGACTCATGCACCGCGACCTCAAGCCCTCCAACATCTTCTTCTCGCTCGACGGACTCGTCAAGATCGGCGACTTCGGCCTCGCGACCGCGCTCGCCGATAACCACGACAACGCCGGCTACGACGGCGGCGCCCCCTCGCGGCGCCGCCACACGGACAACGTGGGCACGCAGCTGTACATGAGTCCCGAGCTCGTCAGCGGGCGCGTATACTCGCACAAGGTCGACGTCTTCTCGCTCGGACTCGTCCTGCTCGAGCTGCTCACGTCGTTCTCGACGCAGATGGAGCGCGCGCGCGTTCTCGGCGACGCGAAGCGGCTGCTGCTGCCGGCGGACGTGGAGCGGGAGCGGCCGGCCGAGGCTGCGCTCGTGCGCCGCATGCTCGCGCTCGCGCCCGAGCAGCGGCCGTCGGCGGCCGACGTCCGAGACGGCGCGTGCTGCGCGACGCCGGCGCCCCTCGCGGCAGCCGCCGACGCGGGATCGCCGCGCGACGCTTTGCGGCGGGGTGCGCGCGAGGCGTCGTCCGCGCGGTCCGTTACCGCGGCGATGCGGCGAAGGCGCGCTCGCGCACGCTGTCCAACAGGGGCGGGTCGAGCGAACGCAGCGGCAGACGACACTCCTTGTGATGGCCGGGTCGTAGGAAAACGCGGCGGCGGTGCAGCGAATTAAGCTTGCACAGCTGTAGCGAAGTACGAGGGGGCGAGATCGCTCGTTGCATGGTTCTGCAAAAATGCGGCGGTCTTGCAACATGCGATGGTGTTGCATGCAACGTGCAACAGCGTGAAAGGTGCGCGGCGTGGTGTCATTTGCTGAGATGATGTTACAATAAACGTAATGCACAACATTAGTGAAATATAATGTAAAATGTGATCGCATTTCTATATTATCGCACAGTGGTACACTTGATGGTTGTATTACGTGGTCGTGTTGCAATGACGTAACACTGAGAACAATATATCCATTGTGTATATTGTTCTCAGACATACAGGTTGACACGTGATGGCGGTTTTCAGTAGAATGCGATAGTGTCGCAACAGTGTTACAAGCAGCATTTTGTGTGGCGTAGGTTTCTGGGAAAATGCGATGGTACTGCAGTAATGAAGATACTGGCTACATTCCATGAAACGTAGTTGTGTGTGTACAGGGTGGAAACTGTGATGGTGCTTTATATGGGATTTTGATAATATTTACACGATTCTCACTGGATATGTTCACTTGTCAACAGCCAAATAAAAAATTGTATAAAGCAAACGAGCCAACAAATGAGAAAATATTTTAGATGCATGTAGAATTTATCCAACCTATACTTCCTGTTATTATTCACTTAAAGGTTATTATCTGACCTTGGTTAGTAGGTAAGGTCGACGAACCAAAGGAAAGCCCGTGGTGAACATGTATCCTATGTGATACTCGATGTTATTTGTAAATATGTTAATCTTAAAATGAGACAACCGTGTTGGGGTTGGTGTGTAAATTTCTCTTGCATGTTTTTGCGTTGTGTGTTGTAAATTGAAATGTTTTTCATGGTTGTGGATGTTGTCGGCGTGATAAATATCTCCACCATGTTATAACCGTCCCCTTGAAACTGTTGCAGTAACCCTTACCCTACAGGACCTACAGTGATGGAGGTATTGCAACTATCTCTGTAAATTAATCAGGTATTGCATCTGTCCCTGTAAAACATACGAGGAATTGCAACTAATTCTGTAAAATGATAAACACATTGCAACTGTGGACCCACAGTGATGGACGTATTGCAATTGTCTCTGTAAATTTTTCTTGGTATTTCAATCATCACTGTAAAATGCTATTGGTATTGTAATTATCTCTTTGTAATATAATTCATATAATAAAATACATCTGTGTCGACTGCTGTTTCATTACCGTGGTTAGAGTGGATTACACGCACGCACGCACGCACGCACGCACGCACGCACACACACACACACACACACACACACACACACACACACACACACACACACACACACAGTACACACACCCACACCCGCAAACGCAGACGCACACACGCAAGCACGCACACACATCAGGGCCGTAGGCAGGTTTTTTTTACGGGAGGGTGCGATCCAACGAGTATACGGACCTAACGAGTGCCGGAGGCGCCAGTCGCTAGGGGGGTCCATAGGCATGCCCTAGGGAGGTCCGGAAAGTTTGGAAAATTAGTTTGTCTGAGACTGCGTTTCGCGCGTTTTGAAGGCAGCATGATATGAAAACAGGCAGACAAAAGCGAACCTCAAAACGTGGACATTTGTAGGGTTTAGCCTTCTTCTACCCGTGATGGTATTAGTGGTTACGCGTGAGTGTATATGTAACACTCTTTGCTAACGTCTATCGGACTCATAATATAAAGAACACAACAACACGGGTATATACGTATTCAGTGACTCTCTTTATAAGTACTATAATATATAACTCCATAACAGGGTATGCGCGTACACTAGGTTTACGCGAGACAGGTCATAATTAACTTACTAGGCTAATGATTCTCCGTATCTTACTCGGTCTATATCTGTCTGTATCTCTGACTCTTTGACTCTTCCTCGCTCTCTCTCTCTCTCTCTCTCTCTCTCTAAACCAGAGATTATAGGAGGTCTAGAAAGGGCCTTTTTTGGCATGTTTTTCGCCGAAATTCGGCACTAGAGTGCCCGATAATTAGCATTATGCACGCAAGTTGGATGCCTCGTGGACGTCGCGAGAAAGCATTAGAAGTAAAATTATTCTTGTTGTGTATTCGTGACGTCACCGGTTGGTGTTTTTTTGTGTATGACGCGTGACCGTCGTCCACTATTCAATCACTACCGGTTCATTACCCTGTTAGGTTAGAGGATGTGACGCGGCGTCATCGGCCGACCAATCGGAGCTAGGGCCTGCAGCTCGTGCACTAAAGCTGACGCGACGTTTTGTGATTGCATTATTTAGGCTGGCTTAGGCTGGCTATCGTGTGTGTCAATGACATGCACATGGAGATGGGTGGATGGTTACCGGTAATATAAAACGAATCCTTTCAATGTATGGCCCCCATTCGACTGCGCGACTGTTTTTCAGGCACAAATGTACGTGGTGTCGATTAGTAAATTCGCGATATTTTTTTCAAAACGCCGGACAACATATGTCATAACTCTAATGGTGCATAGCTGAAGTACATGGCTACCTAGCTTTAATATTGCCACTCGGCCGAAATACTATTTTTCAGTATAGGATTCTATGGAGAATTTAATAGTGGTCTGTTCTCGTATGAAATGTGTTCAGACAACTTTGCAGAAATTCGCATCATAGAGCTGGCAAAAGTTTCGAACGGAGCATAGAGCATGAATCTGTAGTTATTTAACATGAATAAAGTGTATGTTTTGTAAGTGCAGTAGCAGCTAGTGGGAGTATTTTTAATTAATTTCTGTTCGATGCTTATTCAGGCCTGCAGCCTATGGGTTCAACACCTATATACCCAAAGTGGCGACCCGCCTATCTATTGTTTATCGGCAACCTGCTACAATTAGCTACCGCCTGTAATTGGTTGCTTCTGACTACACGCTAGCCTAGGGTCACGTCTTACACAGCTTGGCCTGTACCCCAAACCAGGGCCGTAGTGGCCGCCATGGCAGCACGGCACTGCCGTGGCACTATTTTGACCAAAAAATTGTGCCGGGAACCAAGGAGCAACATATACCAAGGAGATGAAACCCCCGGGTGGGGGGAGGGGGGGGGGGTCACTCACTCCACATTATCATAGCCTAGGTATGTGCCACTGCGAAGTCAAAAATGGGGGCTCTGGAACTAACTCAGACCTGAAAATGGGTGTCTCTGGAACTAATGTTTGTTGAATGTGGTATGCTCTGGAACCGGCTATGTTCGAAAATGGGGGTCTCCGGAACTAGGATTTCGTTGAAAGTCAATGCTATGAAACTGGACACATTTAAAAGAGGGGGTCTCCGGAACTGTGGGGGGAACAGTGATTTGCTTTAAAATCTATGCTGTAGCACCAATAATTGTTGTATTATGCAGAGGAGAGAAAAACATGACCCGGAGAGAGATGAACGCACGCACACGCACACGCACACGCACACGCACACGCACACGCACACGCACACGCACACGCACACGCACACGCACACGCACACGCACACGCACACAAACACACACAACACACACACACACGTTGCATGCATGCCTTCACGGCCCGGCTTCAACGTATTCTGTAGTATATAAAATTTTGTAAACAATGTTTTATTAGTTATCATACTCATAATATATATTTCAGATACTTTAGTCATATGCACATTATCAGCTTTAGCTACATGTTTATCTTTGAAATTTACAAATTGACCTTTTAAAATGATCAGAATTGGTTGCTTTCAACATAGCCTGAAAATGAAGGAAATGTCATTTGCAGGCTCTAAATTTCCACAATTTTCTGGGGGGAATACGTACACCTCCTCCTCATCCGCCTCTTCATTACAAGACTACCACCACAACAGCCCTCAAGGTAGCATTTGCTTCGAGAGCAGCATGCCGCACGAGGATCCATCCCCCGATCGGCTTCGCGATCGCGGCCTTAGCCATGCCTGCCTGCGGCAGACACCATAACCGCCACTCCTGATAATATCACTGGGTGATCCTACATTTTTCTGCAGTGGCACATTTTGGGAGGCCACTACGGCCCTGCCCCAAACTAGAGCAATAGCTTAGCAGTGCGTATTTATTAGCTCATCTGACGGTGTAGAATCGCAAGATTGTCCGTCCGTGCGTTCATCCGGCCGTCCGTCCGTCCGTGCGTCAACAGTTGGGCACAAATCTTAACCGCTCGACGTACGGTCACGATATTCGGGACGTGGGGGGATCGTGAAAAGGACTCGGGAGGATCAATTTGCGGGTCAAACGATGTTCAAACGAACGCTATACCCAATGTGTATTTTCTCGCGCACGCTCCTGCAGGAACCTAAACATAACTTTCAAAGATTCTTTCCCATAACTATAACCAATGTGTTTACTTAACAAAAATAAATCAATGTAGCCATTTAAAATTAATTCATTAATTTTATAATAAATTTATTTCCCTGCGCATGCAGGTACCAGGAGGACTTCACACAGGTGGCGTGTCTGGGCCGCGGAGGTTTCGGCGTCGTCTTCGAGGCGCGTAACAAACTCGACGACTGCGCTTACGCCGTCAAGCGCATCTCGGTGCCGAACCGGCCCGGGGGCGAAATTTTTTTTCCCAAACAGGTTTACATATAACAGTAAAATGAGTAGTAAATTACCTATTAACCTTAACCCTAACCCTAACCCTAACCCTAACCCTAACCCTAACCCTAACCATAACCCTAACCCTAACCCTAATTAACACTAATAAATGAAATGAAATTAATTTAAAATTTTTTATTATTAAAATATATAATTGTTTTAAATCAATCATGCAAATATTTCCGTTAATTGGAAAACAATAGTTAAATGGATAAAGATAGAAAAATACAGAAAACAAAAAAATAATTAAAAACCAAACGGGATTCGAACCATCGCCCTTTCAAAAGCAACGACGGTGCTCTAACCGCTGACCCATATATGTAATATGTAATATAGAACATGACATATGCTAAATAAGCAAACACATGTGAACATGCCTGCCTTTGAACCAATCAGGAGGCAGGATTTGACTGTTATATGTAAACCTGTTTGGGAAAAAAAATTTCGCCGCCGTCTATAACCGTTCGTTTTCCCCACCAGGAAGACTCCCGTACGACCACATGGATGCGCGCCGATCGAATGAAGCCTTCCGGATGCTCCGCGCGAGAAGCCTCTGCCTCCTCACCGCACTCGCCCTCCTCATCCTCCTGGCGACCGTCGCCACCGGCGGACGCCCCGGCGACCACCTCCCGCCGTTCCCGCACGCGCTCAACCCGGACGCCTGCTTCGCCCGCACAGGGCGCCACCTGGTGATCGTGTGCACGCTCGACGGCCGCGTGTCGGCGCTCGACGTCGGCCGCGGTGGCGCCTCGCTCGCGTGACGCTCGACGCCGACGCCGCGCCGATGCTCTCCGCGCGCCTAGTCCCGTCGCTCGACGGCGCCCTCTATCGGTACGACGACGGCGTCCTCGAGGCGGTTCCGTTCGACGCGGACTCGCTGCTCGCGCGCTCGTTCCGCGTCGACGACGACACGGTCGTCGTCGGAGGTCGCGAGACGGTGACGGTGGGGGTCGGGTCACGCAGCGGCGCCGTGCTGTACCGCTGCGGCGCTGCCGGGTGCACGACGCACGCGGAACCGGACGAGGACGAGGACGTCGTCGTCGTGCGGCGGACGACGCGCACGGTCAGGTCGGTGCGCGCGGCGCTCTGGTGTCGAGAACTGGAACTTCAGCGTCGCGCAGGCGGAGCTGAGCGTGCACGAGCGGCCGCGGGCGGACGCGTGCGGAGACGAGGAGGAGGAGGCGGTTGCCGTCGGCAACGTCAGCATCCAGGTAGGGTTGACGACGCGCGAAGTGGTTTCGTTTTTTAACTACAACTAGAAGCAATGTTCTTTTTCCCCCACCCTTCTCACCCCAACTGCAGGAACCTAAACACAACTGGCAAAGTTTCTCTCCTTGAAGTTGTTCAAACGAACGCTATACCCAATGTGTATTTTCCCGCGCACGCTCCTGCAGGAACCTAGACATAACTTTCATAGATTCTTTCCCATAATTTGATCAAACGAACTAATTCTATGAACTACGAACTACAACTATAACCAATGAGTTTACTTAACAAAAATAAATCAATGTAACTATTTAAACTTAATTCATTAATTTTACATTAAATTTATTTCCCTGCGCATGCAGGTACCAGGAGGACTTTACACAGGTGGCGTGTCTGGGCCGCGGAGGTTTCGGCGTCGTCTTCGAGGCGCGTAACAAACTCGACGACTGCTCTTACGCCGTCAAGCGCATCTCGGTGCCGAACCGGCCCGGGGCGCGCACGCGGGTCATGCGCGAGGTCAAGGCCCTGGCCAAGCTCGACCACGTCGGCATCGTCCGCTACTACCAGGCGTGGTCGGAGCTGCCGCCGCCGCGCTGGCAGCGTGAGCGGGACCGCGAGCTCGGCACGTCGTCGCACTGCAGCTCCCCCTACACGTCGAAGGCGTCGTCGCCGCCGCGCGGTGGCTCCCCCTACACGTCGAAGGCGTCGTCGCCGCCGCGCGGTGGCTCCCCCTACACGTCGAAGGCGTCGTCGCCGCCGCGCGGTGGCTCCCCCTACATGCCACAGGCGTCGTCGCCGCCGCGTGTTGCCTCCCCTTACGCGTCGAATGCGTCGCCGGTGTGCGGTGGCTCCCCCTATGCATCGAATGCTTCGCCGGTGTACGGTGGCTCCCCCTACGACTCGATGGCAGCAGACAACAACAATGGGTCGCTGCGCGCACGGCGCGCGCCCGCTCGCATGGCCTCGGTGCCTGAGACGGACGAGACGGGGAAGGCGAGACGGCGTTCGCGCCGCGAGGCGTGGCACGAGGCGTCGTACCGGCGAGACGCCGCCGCCGAGACGAGCGACTCGTTCATCCGCTTCGAGGACTCGCGTCTCGCGGCGGTCGCCCCCGACGACGGCTTCGCCTCGAGCTCGGCCCACAGCGACAGCAGCTTCCGCGACGACTTCGTCGCCGGCGCAACGCATCCCCGGCGCGCGGCGACGACTCCGACACGGACAGCAGCTTCCAAGTGGATTTCGCCGCGGGCGACGACGACTACGAACCCGACCCCCCCGTCTCGATACACGAGCGGGATGAGCGGCGGCCCCCGTCCCGAGACGCGATCGCGAGCAAGCCAGCACAGCCCAGCCCTCTTCCTCTACATCCAGATGCACTGCTGCCGCGTGAGAGCCTCCGCGATGTGCGGCAGACGACGAACGCGCGCCGCCGACCACGAGCGAGTGTCTCTGATCTTCGCCGCAGATCGTGGACGCGCGTTCGCTACGTGCACGCGTCGGACTCATGCCACCGACGACTCAAGCCTCCAACATCTTCTTCTCGCTCACCGACTCGTCAAGATCGGCGACTTCGGCCTCGCGACCGCGCTCGCGATAACACGACAACGCCGCTACGACCGCGCCCCCTCGCGCGCCGCCACACGGACAATGTGGACGCAGCTGTACATGAGTCCCGAGCTCGTCAGCGGGCGCGTCTACTCGCACAAGCGTCGACGTCTTCTCGCTCGGACTCGTCCTGCTCGAGCTGCTCACGTCGTTCTCGACGAGATTTTTTTCTTTTTTTTTTTTTTTTTTTTCTTTTTTCTTTTTTTTTTTTTTTTTTCTCTTCTTTTTCTTCTTTTTTTTTTTTGTTTCTTTTTTTTTTTTTTTTTTTTTTTTTTTTTTTTGTTTTTTTTTTTTTTTTTTTTTTTTCTTTTCTGTTTTTGTTTTATTTTTTTTTTTATTTTTTTTTTTTTTTTTTTTTCTTTTTTTTTTTTTTTTTTTTTTTTTTTTTTTCGAGCGCGCGCGTTCCGGCGACGCGCAACGGCTGCTGCTGCCGCGGGCTGAGCCGGGACGCGCCGGCGAGCTGCCTCTGCGCCGCATGCATCGCTACCGGCCCCGAGCAGCGGCCGTCGGCGGCGATCTCCCGACGCGCGGTGCTGCGCGACGCCGGCGCCCCCATCGCCGCAGCGCGCCGACGCGGGATCCCTGCGCGACGTTTTCGGCGGGTGCCGCAGGGTCGTCGCGCGGTCCCTTACCGGCGATGGCGCAAGCGCTGCTCGCGCACCCTGTCCAACAGGGGCGGGTCGAGCGAACGCAGCGGCAGACGACACTCCTTGTGATGGCCGGGTCGTAGGAAAACGCGGCGGCGGTGCAGCGAATTAAGCTTGCACAGCTGTAGCGAAGTACGAGGGGGCGAGATCACTCGCTGGTTCTGCAAAAATGCGGCGGTCTTGCAACATGCGATGGTGTTGCATGCAACGTGCAACGGCGTGAAAGGTGCGCGGCGTGGTGTCATTTGCTGAGATGTTGTGACGATGTTGCATCGTGTTGTATGAAAGGTGCGCGGCGTGGTGTCATTTGCTGAGATGATGTGACGATGTTGCATCGTGTTGTATGAAAGGTGCGCGGCGTGGTGTCATTTGCTGAGATGGTGNAAAGGTGCGCGGCGTGGTGTCATTTGCTGAGATGTTTCATACAACACGATGCAACATCGTCACAATGCAACATCGTCGCATCATCTCAGCAAATGACACCACGCCGCGCACCTTTGGTGTTGTATGAAAGGTGCGCGGCGTGGTGTCATTTGCTGAGATGATGTGACGATGTTGTGACACCACGCCGCGCACCTTTCATACAACACGATGTCAGCAAATTTGTCATGTTGGTTGCTGAGAAAATGCGATGGCTTTTGAAGTTAGCAGACAACGTTCTGCACTACATTAGTGAAATGTAATGTAAAATGTGATGGCATTTCTATAGTATCGCACAGTAGTACACTGGATGGTTGTATTATTATCGCACAGTGGTACACTTGATGGTTGTAATACGTGGTCGTGTTGCAATGACGTAACACTGAGAACAATATATCCATTGTGTATATTGTTCTCAGACATACAGGTTGACACGTGATGGCGGTTTTCAGTAGAATGCGATAGTGTCGCAACAGTGTTACAAGCAGCATTTTGTGTGGCGTAGGTTTCTGGGAAAATGCGATGGTACTGCAGTAATGAAAATACTGGCTACATTCCATGAAACGTAGTTGTGTTTGTACAGGGTGGAAACTGTGATGGTGCTTTATATGGGATTTTGATAATAGTTACACGATTGTCACTGGATCTGTTCACTTGTCAACAGCCAAATAAAAAATTGTATAAAGTAAACGAGCCAACAAATGTGGAATAATAACAGGAAGTATAGGTTGGATAAATTCTACATGCATCTAAAATATTTTTACTTAAAGGTTAATTATCTGACCTTGGTTATTAGGTAAGGTCGACGAACCAAAGGAAAGCCCGTGGTGAACATGTATCCTATGTGATACTCGATGTTATTTGTAAATATGTTAATCTTAAAATAAGACAACCGTGTTGGGGTTGGTGTGTAAATTTCTCTTGCATGTTTTTGCGTTGTGTTTTGTAAATTGAAATGTTTTTCATGGTTGTGGATGTTGTCGGTGTGATAAATATCTCTACCATGTTATGACCGTCCCATTGAAACCGCTGCAGTAACCCTTACCTTACAGGACCTACAATGATGGAGGTATTGCAACTATCTCTGTAAATTAATCAGGTATTGCATCTGTCCCTGTAAAACATACGAGGAATTGCAACTAATTCTGTAAAATGATAGACACATTGCAACTGTGGCCCCACAATGATGGACGTATTGCAATTGTCTCTGTAAATCTTTCTTGGTATTTCAATCATCCCTGTAAAATGCTATTGGTATTGTAATTATCCCTTTGTAAATAAATCATATAATAAAATACATCTGTGTCGACTGCTGTTTCATTACCGTGGTTAGAGTGGATTACACGCACGCACGCACGCACGTTTCCACGTTTTGAGGTTCGCTTTTGGCTGCCTGTTTTCATATCATAGTGCCTTCAAAACGCGCGAAACGCAGTCTCAGACAAACTAATTTTCCAACTTACCGGACCTCCCTAGGGCATGCCTCCGGACCCCCTAGCGACTGGCGCCTCCGGCACTCGTTAGGTCCGTATACTCGTTGAATCACACCCTCCCGTAAAAAAAACCTGCCTACGGCCCTGATGTGTGTGCGTGCTTGCGTGCGTGCGTGTGCGTTTGCGGGTGTGGGTGTGTGTATGTGTGTGCGTTTGTTTGTGTGTGTGTGTGTGTGTGTGTGTGTACGTGTGTGAGCGTGCGTGTTTGTAGGGTTTAGCCTTC